TTTTTAAAGAATGTACGTAAATCTCAGACGTACAAAAACTGAATGGAAGAAATGTAATTGAATTATAAGCAATATCGTCATCTTGAAAATAATATATTAACTATTATTTTGTGATTATTTTTTTATATTTTAAAAATGTAATATTTTGAAACTACGTATGTTTTTTATTTAAATAAATCTTTAGTTATCTACATTTATCTACGTCACTTACCAAACCGTTGGTCTATTTTATCAGGAGACCAAATTGAAGCCTTTTCACATCTTTTCCCAATTAGAGTGCGAGGTATATCACAATACGATACGTTAGTATTTAAGTAAGATATTATTTTTAGTAGAACTATCATTTGTCCTGTCCTTTACTTTCTCGCTAACACTGTTTTCATACAAGTTTTTCAAATTAAATTCATTACTAGAAACACTATCAACTTTCATTGGCCTTATAAAACATGTATCTAATTGCACTAACAGCTGTTGTATGCGTGAAATGTAGGCGTGTATCACATTCTATCAATGGCCATGTTTGCCTAAAGGCGATATAATGTAAACTTATTTTATACTGCTGTTTATTATACCAGAACATGATTTGATGTGTATTTTTGTGTTGTACCAAAATTCTTTAAGATATAAAAACTGTGAGTATGCCAGTTAAATTAACGTTGTGTACGATGTTTGATCAATTTGTTTCAGTGCGTAAGAAAATTGCACAATTAGGGTGACCCAAATCTGTCCGTCAGCAAATGACCGTGCACGGTACGGTAAAGTAACTGCGAGTTATTTATATTATTGTGCGTCGAAAAAGGCTATTAATATAATTCACAAAATGACGCCATTGTCGTAATTGGTGAAATAATTTGAGTCCATCTCCTGTGGTAGAGCAGATATGATCAATAAAACAGCGTATGGGGCTACATTGTTTCACAGTGCTTTGTACTTTAGTCTCCTATACATAGGTCAAAGGTTAACGGAAGTAAACATTTAACGATGCTCAACACTAGGGCTGTCAGACTAGTAGCAGGAACTCATTAGACATGAATGTATTTATAAGTATGGGATGACAGGAACATGAACATTTCCACCGTATAATGATCAGATGTACATGAACATTTCCACCGTATAATGATCAGATGTAAACGATATTGTCAGAGAAGACATCGTGACCCCAATCACAGTCCAAAGTACACAATATTTCTCACTGACAGATTACTCGGGACTTTTTCACTGATTAGCACAGGAAAATGTTACTTGATCTTTTTAATACCCCTTAAAAATGACTTCCCGCACTTTATATGGCTGGGAACCACAAATCCTGTCGGTCTGGGTATAGAATGAAGAACTTTCATCAGACAACTGATGTGTAACAAGAAAAAATTCACGATGTGGGTGGAGAATAAAAAACTTTCATCAGACAACTGATGTGTAACAAGAAAAAATTCACGATGTGGGTGGAGAATAAAAAACTTTCATCAGACAACTGATGTGTAACAAGAAAAAATTCACGATGTGGGTATAGAATGAAAAACGTTCATTAGACAACTGATGTGTAACAAGAAAAAATTCACGATGTGGGTATAGAATGAAAAACGTTCATCAGACAACTGATGTGTAACAAGAAAAAATTCACGATGTGGGTTTAGAATGAAGAACTTTCAGCGGACAACTGATGTGTAACAAGAAAAAAATCACTTCGATGGATGTTCGGTCACAAAGAAAAATTCTTATGATATAAATAAATGTATAAATCTCTACTCAACCTATTAAATAAGAGGCGAGATTTTTGACCACACCAAATGAAGACTAGGTTTTTTTAATCATTCGTGCCTTAGAACATTTACCGCAGTGAGTAATTGATAGGTATTTGAATGAAGAGTTTTCCGACTAGCAATAACTGCACTTGCTATTAGAAAACAAACATCGCGAACCTGTTTCCATAGATTGGTATTTACGACTATTGCCCAACCCAAAAGCTGCAGTTACAGTAATGAAGCAATACAGTACACGGTTAACTTCGATTGCAAATTAAAGGTAGTTGGGAGTATAGTTTTAAAATGGGGAAGTTCAATTACAATTATAGATGGTAGGAGTACAAATAAAATGGTACCGCTCCCTTAGATCAGGTTAAAGTACTTTTCCGAGTGACATTTTTGGTAAAATAGCTAGGGGCTATACAGAGACTGGTTTAGAGAAGTTCTCTAATTAGCAAGATACTCTTGGCCCAATGCTAGAGTTGAAGGGTTGCACCTTACTGTGATTATACAAGCGTTGAAGGATTATTCTATACATGGCAAGCGTGATTTCTCAATGTCATGACTGTAAACCAACATTTCTGTTCAAAGTATCTAGATGCATTTAGCTTGTGGTTAAAACCTAATATGATCATCTATTGTCATTCATAAGTTTGTTGTTATAATCAAATATGACGATCTTTTGTCGTTCATAAGCTAGAAAGTGTTTCTTAATAAATCGTTCAAGTTATCACTGAGAAAACACTTTCTTTTAAATATTTTTTGCTTGTTTGCAATTATAAAATCTAAGAACACCAATATGGAATTTTTAACATAATAAAATCAACGTAAACACAACCCAGAAAAAAATAGAAGCAAAAGTCTCAAGTGTACAAAATGTAACGTAAACTAGCGATTAAAACGTTAATGAAACAACCAAGTCTCAATATAAGCGACAGTGTGTGTGATTAGGTCTTGCCTGAGACCTATGGGTCCCAAGTGAGCGCTAGGAGAGTTTACACACTCTTCACCCTTGCTCACCCCACGTTCTCCAACAATCGATCAGCGGTCTCTAAAGGACTTTCATGCACGTGTTCACGCCCAATTCATTCCTGAAAAGTTTACCAACGGTTGTTTTTTTCCACAAGGTCTAAACAACACCTCATTAAGGGTTTTTTTTTCTCTACCGGTGCTAAACGACACCTTATTACATACAGTGAACACTCTGGCTAACAGAGGGTGGCTTTAAATATTTTATACAGCTTTAAAGCAACACTGTGTTAAACACGCAGTCTAGACTGACAACGGCGTTATACAGTGCTAAAACACTACGGCTAGACTGACAACGGCGTTATACAGAGATAAAACACTCGGTCTAGACTGCAAAGGGCATTAACAGTTCTAAAGCACTATGCTTAGTCAGACAAACGTATTATACAGTGCTAAAACACTACGGCTAGACTGACAAAGGCATTATACGGTGATAAAAAACTACAACTAGACTGACAAAGGTATTATACAGTGCTAAAACACTACAGCTAGTTTGACAAAAAGGGCATTGTAACAACAATCGGCCTAGACAAATCAGAGCTAAACACTACCAGTTTCTTCCAGGCATCTCTTCAAAAGGGCCTTACCCCCCCCCCCCCTCCCAACGAAAGAGAATTTATTTAGGAAATATATTAGGAAATATGTACTTTTACCAGTGATCGCCCCCCTCCCCCCTCCCAAAAAAACAATTTCAAGAGCCCCTTTCCTCCCCCCCCCCCTCCCAACAATACATTTAGAAAGACAATGCAATTATACAGTGCAGAAACACTAAGGTTATACTGCCAAAGTCTATAGTGCTACAGCACTATCGGGATGTCTATCGACCGACCATGCAAAGGTTGACAGACAGACTGTCGTGCTATTGTGTCACTGGCCCTCCAGCGATCACTGCAGTAGATTTAAGCGTGAGATTAGACCGGTTGTATCCCGGGTAAATGCTACAACACAATTAGATATATCCCAAACAAATGTCATAACACCATCAGATGTACCCTAAACAAACACCACAACACCATCAGATGTACTACAAACGCCACAACACCATCAGATGTACCCCAAACAAATGCCACAACACCATCAGATGTACCCTAAGCAAATATCACAACACCATCAGATGTACCCTAAGCAAATATCACAACACCATCAGATGTACCTTAAGCAAATATCACAACACCATCAGATGTACTCCAAACAAACGCCACAACACCATCAGATGTACTCCAAACAAATACCACAACACCATCAGATGTACCCCAAACAAACGCCACAACACCATCAGATGTACTCCAAACAAATACCACAACACCATCAGATGTACTCCAAACAAATACCACAACACCATCAGATGTACTCCAAACAAATACCACAACAGCACCAGATGTACCCCAAACAAACACCACAACACCATCAGACATACCCCAAACAAACGCCATAACATCAGTTGTACAAGAGACAACTAACTAGGTTTCTCTTACATTTGGTCCAAGATCCTTTCATCATTTAATCAACTAACCCCCGGCCCACAAAGTAATTAATTAAATCAAAGGATTAACTATACAAGAAAATCTAAAATAAAGCAATAAAAAATGCCAGAAATTGTACAGCAGGTAAATTAAGACCCAAAATTAGAATAATAACTTTCCTGGAATATCCCTCCAACATTTTTAATGAGGGCTTTTTTTTTCGGGTGAGGACATATCTTTCTATTTAAGGGTGGAGAACCATGGTTTAAAATAGAACATGAGGAGGTTATTTTTAAGTTTTCGATTCTATTTAGTCTTTACCGGGTCAACCGGTGCTTCCTTATACAAGTTAACATTCAATTTTTTTATGCACAGAGTAGTATAGTTCAGCTGGCTGTTATTACTGCGTTACACATACATACCACCATGAAGAGTGATAGCATAAACATAGGTCTTGTGATTAGATAACGTCGTTTGTCATTGTTCTAAAGCTGTGACATTCATTTCAGCTGTACGGTGTACAGTACACAAATATACCGTGATAATTTATTAGTTCATCGCAGTCAATTACTAAGATAACGAGAGTCTTACCTCTTTTGATAACCTAGTCGACCCAGCTAGGTGTGCAGCTTAGGATACACACTACACATATACAACTGGTGTTTGGTTAGTTAAATTCAGAAGGAAAAAAAGGTAATTTTAAAATTTAATCGGTTATTAATTTAACATTGAGAAACATTTTTTGACATTTTTTTTTACTTTGCAGGTATTGATTGGCCGCGTCGCTGTTTATGAAAATAAGGTGACGTCATCAAGTAAACAAATTATGGACAGATCAATTGGTTAATTCCTTCAGCCTTTTGCCAGCTCTGCCTTCACTCTCGCCCAACTTAGCGATAAATAATGTGACGGCGTCAAGCAAATAGTTTAAAAGTTATTTGTGTAGACCAATCATTCGAAAACAGGAAAATATAAAATCAATATTTTCATCATGGATGTATCATTTCTGATGGTTTGAACATTCCCAGATCGTGATTGGAATTTGTGACATCTAAATGGATTTTAAAAAATAACTATTATTTCCAAGTCTTCGGTGAATTCCTAAACGTGCCAGCGATGGGGAAGAATACGAGCACCGGGTTCTTTTACCCCGAGAGTACCCTCGAGGTGTACGCGGCGCCGAGCAACATCTCCATGAGTACCCCGTACTCAGCCCTCACCAACATGACTCTCTCTGCTAACGAGTCTTTGAGCCCGGCCTGCAACAGCTCAGGCGAGAACAGCCTTAGTGCCATCAACTTCTACTTAACTGGCATCGGGGCGCTGGTGCTGGTTATACTGGGGGCGGTAGGGAACACTCTGGCCATGATCGTGCTGACACGGCGGACCATGCGAACCTCTACCAACGTGTTCCTCACGGCTCTCGCCATCTGGGATACTGTGGTCCTCGCTGTGGTCTTACCTTTGATGAGCCTGCCAGTTCTTTCGGAGCAGTTTAATAAACATGTCACACCGTACATCGTCGTGTCTGTTTATCCAATAGGATTAGCCGCGCAGACCGCTACGGTGTGGCTTACTGTGTCTTTTACTGTGGAGCGATACATTGCAGTGTGCCATCCGCTGCGGGCTGCAAGTATGTGTACGATACCACGCGCAAGGATGGTCGTTTTAGTCATATCCATCGTATCGATACTCTACAATGTACCTCGCTGGTTCGAGTACACAAGCCTGGAGCTAACAGATCAATATAATCAGATATGCTTGGCAATAATCAAAACCCAATTAGGCAGTGAACCCATTTACCACAAATTATACTTTGGTTGGCTTTATTTTTTAGTGATGTGTTTTATACCCCTATGTTCCTTGGCTATTTTAAATGCATTCCTTATAGTGGCCGTAAGACGATCAAAGAAACAGAGGCGGGACATGAATGTGCGACAATCCCGCGAGAACAACGTTACAATCATGCTCGTTTCCGTCGTTATCGTTTTCATCATCTGCCAAGTCCCCGCCCTTATATACAACATGGCTTACGCTATCGACACTGCTAAAGTTGAGAGCTCGGCAGGGTGGATAGTTCTCAGCTCGTTCAGAAACTTCCTCGTCATGCTCAACAGCGCCGTGAATTTCATCCTGTACTGCGCGCTGGGTCAGAAGTTTCGCCGCACATTCGTCAGAACATTGTGCCCGTGCCTGGTCAGGCGTATGCCCGGGAGGTTCCAGTCTTTCAGCTTTCATCACAACATTGACAGCCACCACGCCAAGACGGCGCACAACGGCAACGTGTACGCTAAAGTCGGGTACCAGCAGTGCCGGACGGATGTTCAGAGTGAGCATGAAGTAGGGTTGGACATGGCCGTTCTCAAGGCGGCCTACTCGCCCAGAGAATCCACAGACTCCAACGGGTCTGCAGAAGTCAATGACGTATTCGTGCCTAACAATTCCCAGCGCAGTCACCTCAAGCTTCTGTCTCCCATTTCTAAAGGAGGCCGAGCAAGCTGAGAGTGTGTTGGTGTTTAGTATGTTTATTTTGTTCATATGGAGGCTGGGGTGTGTTGGTGTTGAGTGTGTTTATTTTATTTTTTTCATATGGAGGCTGAGAATATGCTGGTGTTTAGTATGTTTATGTTATTTTGTTCATATTGAGGATGTTGTTATGTCCACGTTATTTTGTTTAAATAGGGGCTGGGGTGTGTTGGTGTTAAGTATATCAATGTTATTTTGTTCATATGGAGACTGGGAATATGCTGGTTTTTAGTACGTTTATTTTATTTTGTTCATAAGGAGGCTGGGGTGTGTTGGTGTTAAGCACATTCATGTTCTTTTGTTCAAGTGGAAGAGAAGAGCGTGTTGTCGATAGGTCCACGTTATTTAGTTCACATTTAGGCGGAGTGTTTATATGTCAAAAATGTTCATGTTACTCAGGTTAAAGGAAGGCTGAAAGTTTGTTGGTAATTAGAATGTTCATGTTATTTAGTTCACAGAGCGAAAAAAAAACGAGTTGAGAGAATGTTGGTGATACAATGCCCATGCTATTTTGTTCAAATGAAGACTGAGGTGTGTTCGTGTTTTGTGTTATTTTGTTCAAATGGAGGCCGACAGTGTCTTAGTATTTAAACGGTGGATGAACGGGAGTGTTTTTTGTCGTTCTACTTTATATGTTCAAAAGGAGGCTAGGACTGTGTATTGCTTTAGCGTGCTGTTTAAAATGTTCTTGTTATTTAGTCTGAAGGTCTTGATGTTTCTCTGTTATTGTTACTGAGCATCCCACAATATTTTTAAATATACTCTATTTTTAACAGAAGTTGATCAATTTACCAAAGCGGTATAAAAGAAAAAAAAATATTAATAATATGTCATGTTTTTTTAAATTTGTTTTTAAATGCCTATACTTATTGTGTTAATTGATGAGTTAATAATGTCTAGTAAAGAAGTTCAGTTTAGAAAGAGTTAAGTCAATAATTGTGTTTGTATGTAGTATCGAGAATGACATGCTTGTAGATAGCAGTAATACAATTTCATTTACTCATAACAGAAAATAAAAGACAAGTATTAAAGGTTGAGCATCCAGAACTGCTCTTTGCCAGTTTTATGCTTAATGTCCAAAATGTAGATAGGAAATAGTGTATAAAATACAATACATTGACATAATGACTATTTTTTAAATAGTAATTTGGATAAGTCTTGAAATTGTGTGAACTATATTACAGAAAGTGACATTTACTTTTACTAGGAACAAAAATATAATTGACAATTCTGTAACCGTTATGGAATCAATTGTGTACTTTAAATAGCTCTCTTCTAAAATTGTTTAAAAATAAAGCGAAAAACTGTATATATGGACAACAATGATGTGTTTGTGTATGTCTACACTGGTTAAAATGATAAAATTAGTAGCTAAAATATATTTATGAGTTGAGCTCATATATATATATATATATATATATATATATATATATATATATATATATATATATATATATATATCATACAAAGTAAACTTTGAAAACTCGAATGTAAAGTCAATCGTTTGATATCACAGTATTCATGTATGAATTGAAAAATGTTGTCAGACAGTTCAGACAAGAAAGCCTCTAAAAATGTAGGCTGCGACATGAAACTTTTCCAATACAAACTACTGACTAGAGATGAGTTACGGCTACACGTTTTAAAGTTACCACGAGAGACGCATCAGTGTTTCCTTTCAGACATTTTGCTCGGGGGTGGGGGGTGGGGCTTTGAACCGTTCGGGAAGGCAGAGGGTACTTAAAGCAATAAAAGAATGTTGTATCGAAATCCGTGCTGAGGAGGGGGATGTTGCGGTAGATGTATGTCCATGGTATTGTTTGAATTTGTTGAATGAATTTTAAATAAAGTGTGCTGCAGTACTATTACAAGAAAAGAAAAATGTAATGCATTTTATGAATATGTTCATTGTTTTAAAAGACTTTAGCACAAATAAAACTGTCGTAATGAACATGAACAAAAGGAAAAAAATTGTAACCAGTTTCTACATCTAGATCAGGGGTCTCCAAACTTTTCAATCCGAGGGCCGCATTAACTATCAAATTTCAATTCGGGGGCCAGTTTCTTCTAGGCATGTCTTTGATTTTTCTGGGCAAAGTTCCTTGGACAAAAAGATCTCCGCGGGCCGGATGAGACGACTTCGCGGGCCGCATCCGGCCCGCGGGCCGTAGTTTGGAGACCCCTGATCTAGATTAACGTGGGCTTAATTGTTGTTATGACAATAGAACTTCGTATGAAATGTACAGGGCTACCAATGAATAACTGATCCTCTTTTCATTAGACATAGAAATAAGAAAAGGCTGGATTATGTACACTCAAGTAAGTTGTAATACATCTTCTAAAAGTCAAACTAAGTTACAATATTTGATGAGGCTCTCTGAGTATTTTTTTTCGTTTAATCAATGTATAAAAAGGTTCTATGTTCATTAAAAGTTCAGTGACCCCCACCCCCACCTCTTTTAGAGCAGTACGTCACGAAACTGGTTTAGTAACTATCGGCCTGAATGAAACCATGTATCGCATTAGCGGTAATAGAAACATCAGATGGAATTAAGGAAAGCTTTAACTAAATTATCCTAGACTTAACTAAGGTTAAGTGAACTGTGTTTTTAAAACTTAGATTGGTATTTTGAATACGTAAAGGTTATGTGTTGTATATTTCCTCAAAGGAATTTTAGTATAAGTAGCCTATATTTAAGATTGTTGTCATAAAACAATTATTTTTTGTACAACTGGCCTTGATGTAATAGATCCACTGTGTAAGAAAACAGATTAGCTACGAAAGTGAGGGTTGAAAGAAAAAATACAGTAGATGAGCCGGTGACTGAATTAATAGAAACAACATTGACAAAAAAAAGGCCGTATTGATGTAAGATGTAAATAAAATACTCATGACATTGGTATGACGCGAAAATGGCAGTAACATCCAGAAACAAATCGTTGCTAAATATCATCCACACGGACACTACTGGCACCAAATTTTTAAAATAACAATGAAACTATTTTTATTCTAGTATACTCTCTTCATAACCCACAAGTATTTTTGTCAACCAGACTCAGCTATAAAACTCTCTCCCACTTGAAATGCCGTATAAATTACATATCCACTTACATCAAATGTAATATCATTTGTTCGTAATGCAAATGCATTCAAATATAGATGCTGACAACACAACAACACAAATGGTAAACACATATCAATTATGATAGACACAACATTTGTTGACTATAGGCTAGCAAGTCGGCTTTTTAATAGGCATTTCATGGTAGTTCTATCATTGTTGGTAGAGCAGTATTGAAGTTGTTAAACAATGTTTCTAATAGATATTACGTGGTATATCCAGGGCCGGCGCTACCTGTAAGGCGAACTAGGCGGCCGCCTTGGGCGCTGTCCGTAGGGGGGCGCCAAAATGGGTTGGAAAAAACAAATTGAAAGTTTGAGGGGGGGGGGGGGCGCAAATCGAAAGTTTGAGGAGGGGGGGGGGTTGCAAATCGTAGAAGTTTGAGGGGGGGTGCAAACCGTAGAAGTTTGAGGGGGGGGGGTGCAAATCGTAGAAGTTTGGGGGGGTGCAAATCGTAGAAGTTTGAGGGAGGGGGGTGCAAATCGTAGAAGTTTGAGGGGGGGGGGTGCAAATCGTAGAAGTTTGAGGGGGGGGGTGCAAATCGTAGAAGTTTGAGGGGGGTGCATATCGTAGAAGTTTGAGGGGGGGTGCAAATCGTAGAAGTTTGAGGTGGGGGGTGCAAATCGTAGAAGTTTGAGGTGGGGGTGCAAATCGAAAGTTTGTCCTCGGGCACCGGGAAGGGTCGCTACGCCTATGATAAAAATTGCGGGGGGGGGGGGGACGCTTTTAATAAGTTTTGCCTAGGGCGCTAAATGACCTGGCGCCGGCACTGGGTATATTAATAATTGTCGGTAGAGGAGTATTGAAGTTATTAAACAATGTTTATGACTATAATAAGTAGGTGGACAGCAAGTCACCTCATTGGACAGTATCAGTGACTTAGTTCACCCCCCCCCTCCTCACAAACCCCGGCCATGTGTGACGTTACTCGTATCACCAAGGCCGAACACATAAACCAGTTAGTAGGCTAGTCTGTACGTGCGACAGCTTTTTGTCTTCCATATCACCATCCGCCACAAGCATTCGATTACCGCAAGGTGCTGGGTTATGTCCCATTTACATTAGCAGGAAGCACCTCGTCACATTACCACTAATCATACATTCACAGAAACCATAGCAGGCGAATGGTTTCTTTACAGCATCAGTTCTTGTCAGGATGGGTAGTCTGCTCTTACCAGTGGCGTTGCCAGGAATTGGTCATGGGAGGGGTATAAAATTATATATATATATATATATATATATATATATATATATATATATATATATATATATATATATATATATATATATATATATATATATATATATATATATATATACAGGGGTGTGAGTCCATGGGAGGGGTTATAACCCCCCTTGCCTACGCCACTGTCTCTTACCATTTCATAAAGTCTACAGGTATAAGATTTCCCACATTAACATTGGGAAAATAATAGAAATATAAGACTGGGAGGAAGTAGGTTATGATAGCACAGGGCAAAACTTTATCGCGTAACACGTATCCTTACGATTAAACAAAAATATAGGCACAAAATAATTTTATTTTCAATAATCAAATGTTTATTTCAAAAAATTGTATCTTACGTTGTTTCATATTTACATAGACATGAATATTAGGTAAACCTATGTAGTTATGGAGAAGGGAAACAAAAGCGTAAAAAAACGTAGGTTTCTGTTATTAACATCCGACATTATTCCCATAACCCACCACCACTAAGGTCTATACCATATTTCTAGAGTCTTCCCCCCTTTCTTCTTCCCGCCCCCCTCCCACACACTAATAGGTACGTGCTAAATTTTCTTACGAGTACTATCATTAACACAATTGCAATATAAATTGCAATATCAAAACACAGGTGGTACCCCTTACTTTGATCACAAGATTTATCACGACAAATAACAAAATGATATTCAGCCCCTGCCCAAATTAAAAAAGTCCACTGTTCTTAATATGTAGAACAATTTAACAGTTTTAGCCTGATTGATATTTGTTTAAATTCAAGAAATTGCTCACATTACTTGTTATCCCACATCTTCTGGGTTATAGTTATTGTTTTGTTTTGTCTACATTGAAAAAGTTGTATGTATAAGATGATGGTATTGTTCATGTTGTAAGTGTTGTAACACATGTTATATGTTTATTCCATTGTATTTTGAGATAAATGCCTTTACATGTAATATAATCTACGAGTGTATAAATTCCTTAAAAAGAAATGGCATTAACATATGAATTTTATATAGCTAAACTATGTATGCTTTTAGTGTACAAATAAAGGGATGTAATGCTGAACTAAGGGGAGTAATTTATCATACTTAATCAGTAGGATCATGTCAGATTCAACACAAGTCAGAATACTTGATTAAACCAACACAAAAATAAGGACTACAAACCAAATAAAAGTTCATAACTTAACTACCCATAAATACCATAACAACACCACGTTTGTATTTATAGTGTAAGCATTGTAATGTTTTTTGTGCTTTGATTCAAGTTATGAAAAATTCCAACAACTATATGTATAATTTAATATGATTTTGAATGAGGCCTATACCAACTTTAACAAATAGCAGTTTGCTAAAAAAAATGCTTTATGTTATAAATTATATTCACTTAAAGACTATTCCGATTTGTAAATCCAAGACCAATGCCTCATACTATTAATAGTTATGAATTCAATTATTTATAGTTTTTTTTATTATTATTTAGTAAACTAGGTAATAGTTTTAATTTTTTAAGAATTTAGTTTTTAAGCATATATTTTCAAATGCCATCTTAAAAATAATCATTGTATATAAAGAATTGGTTTTTTTTTATTATTTTAATGTGTAAAGTTAGACCATTGTATTTCATTATATCATTTAAACTTTTTTAAAAGAGTTGTTAGAAATCATTTTTTCCAGGTACCAAAGATTAGAGCACATTTAATTCATTTACTGTTTCAATTGGTATTGTTAAATCATACATTTCATTTCAATTAAAACTTATAAGCAATATACTGAGTGTACAGGTTCTATACCTTGACTTTTGCTAAATTATAAGCCTATTAACATGCACAGTAAATTATAAGTGTTTAAAATAAAAATTGAATCATGTGTATTAAACTGTTAATTTGATTAATTATAATTCACTGTGTTGAATTATCAATAAAGTAAAGCTGAAGATTTTGACTGTGTTTGTTTTCTTACTTGGCATTTATACCATTAGTTGAAATATGAGTAAAACAAAATGATACATCAATAA